GAGTCTGCGCTCCCTGTCTCCCTGGTCTGCTGGGGGGAGCTGCTCCCCAGCAGACCAGGGAGACATGGAGCAAAGCCGTGGAGGATGCGGGTGGGACCGCGGCGCGTCTCAGCGGTCCCGCCGCCTGCGTCCTCTGTGGCGAGAAAAGCCGCTCCGCGTCTCCCTGGTCTGCTGGGGGGGGAAGCACCCCCTGCGCCGCCGGAGGCAGCGACAGTGGGGGAGGCACCCCGCACTAGCTGCGCCCTCCCCCCAATTCATAACTAGGGGTCCGACTTAAGTCGGACTGACGTAACCCGGGGACTGCCTGTAACACAAATTCTTTATTAAGCTTTAGAATTTGTTGCTTAGTCATTTATTTCTCATTGCTATTACGCATACTCATTACTAAAATATCTGATCAATGGGCATGAACATGACATTAATATAAGGCACCAGAGTAGTTATCTTGTTTACTTTTTTCACAATGAGCAATACTACTATACTTTCTCCAGTATCATGCTAGTGAAGTAGATACATGTCAAGATAATGTGGGGAAAACATTACAATAAATGTATTCTCATTTGTATGATATCAGCAAAGATCTAAATTTTGATGAATTAACTAGTTTAGCTTCAATTTGTATCTCTAAGATGAATACTTTTAACTACATCACATATTCCCCTTGAACAATAGGCTTGAAAGCATTAATTAAGATTCACAAAAGACTATCACTGTGTGTTGTATTATTTATTGGCTTAATGTTTTCTTTCTACTTCATGGTCTTATAACCAGTGACAGATACAGAAGGGTTAATTGTTTTAAATATTAGTCGCTGAACTGAGTGGCTTTTTTTTTTTTAGTTTCTTGCATTTGAGAGATCAGTATTTCATTTTAAATTGAGTTCTTCACATCTAATTTTGTTAACTCCAAATTAAGCAAAAGATTGGTACTTGGACATTTTTGATCCCAGTGGAACTACTGTAATTAGAACCATTTGGCCTGTAAATGTAGTATAGTGCAAGAGGGACCATGTTATTGATTGCTACTGTTTACAGTTCATAAATCATACTTTCTATCTCTCACTTTACTGTATTCCATTAAAATAGTTTTTTTTAACTGAAAGCCTTGAAAGTTATACTATTGACTTCAGTGGAGACATAAGCAGGCAGTTTATTTGCAGTTGTGTTTTAATGTTTCTTTTTATTATTATTATTATTATTTTCTGAGAGCACCAGCTCTCTATCAAATAAGGTGGAAGAAAAAAGAATAGGAAGGTGATGATATAATATGAAAAATTGTTCTGAGACTTTTAGAACTCTTTAGCTTATTTTTATCCATTTTTTCTCAGTAAAATTGTAGTAATTTTGAAAGGTGCAGGGTTAATCAACTGTGGAGACTGAGTTCCTCCAAGTACAACTTTTACAGTAGGACTACAATTTATCCTACATTACCCACCAGTATGCTATAAGCTTTAGAAAATGTCCCATGTTGAAAACTAACATCCTCTGATACTTTTAAACATGCAAGGCACTGCATTCAGCCATATGGAGTGGAAATCCTTCAACTGCATAAGGAAATTCTCACCGACCCAAACAGACATCATCTTCCTATCCAAGTGCAAAACCTCATTAGCACTGGGACTACAATTTGCAGTACTTTTTTTTTCTCCCTTTCCCTTCTTATTCTGAGAGTCCTTTTTTTTCTCCACCCAGGCTCATTTCATCTGGGCTGTGTCTAGACTGCATACCTTTTCCATAAAAGGGATGCAAATTAGACATATTGCAATTGCAAATGAAGCGGGGATTTAAATCCCCCCCGCTTCATTAGCATAAAAATGGCTGCCACTTTTTTCCAGCTCGGAGCTTTGCCGGAAAAAAGCACCAGTCTAGACGCGGATCTTCTCGAAAATAAAGCCTTTTCCAAAAGATTCCTAATCCCTCATTTTAACCTCCGAGCCGAAAAAAAGCGGCAGCCATTTTTATGCTAATGAAGCGGGGGGGATTTAAATCCCCGCTTCATTTGCAATTGCAATATGTCTAATTTGCATCCCTTTTACGGAAAAGGGATGCACTCTAGACACAGCCCTGGAGAAGTGGGTTTTGCCCATGAAACTCATGATACTATATATATATTTTGTTAGTCTCTAAGTCTACACAGCAGCATTATTTTAGAATAACTGGTGTTATTCTGAAATAACATAGTGCTCATCTACATTGCAAGCCATTATTTTGAAATAATGGCGAGCTGGAGGACTTCTTTCTTCGACTCCTATAACCTTCATTTTACAAGGAATAAGGGAAGTTGAAAGGAGAGTTTTCTTCCTTCAACTTCCTGCTGTGTAGACAGCTCCAAAAGCGGAATTAAGCTATTTTGACTTCAGCTATGCAATTGACGTAGCTGAAGTTGTGTAGCTTAATTTGACTTTTGCCCTGATGTGTAGATATGCCCTAAGGTGCCACAGAACTACCTGTTGTTTTTAGAGTTACAGACTAACATGGCTACTCCTCTAAGATGTGTAGGGATAGTTCACTCCCTATAAATTTTCAACCCTATGGCCTTTTGGTAAAGATCAGCACCAGTTAGTTATAACCATGAAGTGGACATCTGTCCTAAAGGAGCTAGAGTAAATACCAGCTCATTTGATGCAAGATGGCAAATTTTGGTCATAGCTAACTTGAGGGGAATGTGAACCAGTGCCTTAAAAACAAAATCTCTGTGTTCCATTAATAATCCGGTTTCCCCAGAATTTTATGGCTGAGGTTATCATAAGTACCTTAAGTATGCCTGAACTATATTGCAATTCAATAGGATTTGGATGCCTCAGTCCCTTAGGCTCATTTGGAAACCTCAGCCTACAGCTGTATTTTATAGGAAAGAATTCATTTCCACGGCTTGCAAATGGATTGTACCAATAATTAAAACTTTGTAAATAATAAATTTGTCTCTTACCGGTGGAGTACTGAAAATGTAGAAGGATGATCCTTTCAGTGCCAGGAACTTGTATTTGTAGAGCTGAGATGAATCAGTTCCCTCAAGTCTTTCATTTACCCAGCCCATATGAATAACCTGCAGAGTAAAACCTTTGAAAAATTAAAACTCAAGCTTCAATAGCAGCATAGTATCAGAGGGGTAGCCGTGTTAGTCTGAATCTGCAAAAGCGGCGAGGAGTCCTATGGCACCTTATAGACTAACTGAAGTGTAGGAGCATAAGCTTTCATGGGCAAAGACCCACTTCGTCAGATGCACAAAAGTGGATCTGACGAAGTGGGTCTTTGCCCATGAAAGCTTATATTCCTACACTTCAGTTAGTCTATAAGGTGCCACAGGACTCCTTGCCACTAATAGCAGCATAATACACCAATTATATAGGGGTTTTCCTACTCCCAAGAACACCAGTCAGTTAATGGAAGGCAGGAAACTGGCTATACCATCCTTCCCTTTATCTTTCTTAGCTTTGATCCCTAAATTATACTCCATGCTGGTGTGTAGGGAGCCCCTGCAGAGTTGTGATCCATACTGCACCGGCTCTCTGAATCCAGTCTGCTCTGTGCAGCAGTATCACATTGATATCTGGCACGTTAGG